AAGAAGACGACGTAAAATCGAGGTTTGCTTTTGCATTTAATTTCTGGCCCATTCTTCCATAGTTCACTGGAACGCTGACGCATCGTAAGATCAAAATAAGACTTGGGTCTTGTACTTTGTGTGGGCTAGTCAACAGCTAGATGTTCCTGTGATGTGGGAAGGGTTCACTAAGTAATGGTAATTTTGATTGCTGAATTTCTCAATCAATGTACTGAGTTAGACTGTAAAATTAGAAAACTATCAGTCAGCAAATGTCCGTTGAAACAACACGTAATATCCGATGTTCGATGCGAATTGAATTCGTGCGCGCTACCCGCCGTCATAAAATTTTTTTTTGTAAATAAAAAAAAATTGTGTAAAATGAAACAACTGACCACTGACGGCGTACACTCTTAACGTGTGATGATTGTTAACCATGCGGGTGGTGCAAGACACTTTGACGGTATAGAAATACATTGTCGCGCTGGCTCGTAATAAATCTGTGTCACATAAAAACGGGGTCCATTTAGTCATGTTACCCCTCAGGTTCGAATGCTTATTCCCGATACAGTATAGGCTACCATTAGACAACTGTTCTCGTTGGAGGCCATTTGATGTAAAGCGCTTCACTCTGAAATTAGCTCCACATTGTGAGATAGAACACCTGTTTGTTTCCGCTTAAAAAAAAGTAGGTATTTTTCCTGTTAGGCAGTATGCCTCCATTTCAATTTAGCTTCGTTGGGATGAAAGCATTCAAAGAAAGCGTCAGTTTTTCTACTTTTGTTTCAATTGGATTATTAGTATTTCATGCTCGGTAAGAGTCGTGCAAAATAGATTGACTTATTCTCCGTTCGATTCACTAGAGTAGGCGCAAATCCTTATTGTACTACATAAATAAGTAAGTGGAGAAAAATGCTCTACATTTCTGTATCTGTATAGTGAACAATTGGGCAACCGGTGTACTTTGACAAACACGATTTGTCAACCTATTTATAGCTTTTTTTTTTTGTGGATCGGTCGTGACATTAGTTTGCGGTGTACTCGGTAATTTCTTGTATCCATTTTTGGACCCTAAACATAAGAAACACTCAACTAAGGCAATGAATCGCAAATCGTTCTATTAACTATTAGTCGACCTTTGTCTAGGCATCGATCACTCTCGGCTACGAAAATAAAAAAAATGCTTCTGAAAAGCTCTGTACTTTTCCTTGGCTTAATCATTAACATACTAGAATATGGACATTTTATTTGAGTTTACAATGGACCCAAGGAAAAAGAAGCACCGCAAGTGATATTGCTTCAACATGGTATGAATCAACGTTGATATTCAATATACATCTTGAGCGCTGAAAATATTTGGCAAGAAGCAGACGATTTGAAAAGCGCCCTCTTGCTGCCGTGACCTATCTGTTTGCCATAGGCGAACTTGTCATTCCCGCTTTACCATAAGAGCAGACAAAATCGGATATTCTTTTAGTTCCGTTTGTCAATCCCCGTGCTATCTACCATGGTTAATCTACTGGCAGGCACAATCGGACTCGTCTGGCGCGATTGTGCCTATTTACCATTGGCAAGAGGCCATTTAAACTTTCAAATCGACTCCAACAATGATGGCCACGACAACGACAACGACAAAACCAAGATGCGTCTATCATTCTGTAGCCTGCGATCGCAAGCCATAAATGCTGCCTCAAATGCTCTTTAGGTTCTAATGAAGGCGGACCGATCGACAAAATGCAATGAACATTATTTTTGACTATGAAAACACCTCGTCCCGTACAGATATGTGTTCCTGATGTATCTAGAAAACCTGCCACCCTGTCGAAAGGAGAATGACGACCTGCGCATGAAGTTGGTGTAATCCAGGCAAAAGTTGTAGGTCGCTCGATCGTTGTAACGCAGCACGAAGGCCAACAACGGACCAGTAGGAGTTCAGACCGTGCGCGAATATACTAACCCACTTTCAGGTTCAACTGCCATTCTTTCGGACACGACTGACACCGATATGAATTGTTGAACGGATCTATCAGACAATAGCATCAAGCATAGAATCTAGGTAACGTTGGTAGGCTTCACATGTCCGATCGGATTCGTAACCGCGTGAGAAGCAGCTATGAGTATGATCGTTCATGTCTGTGTTCTGTCTTCGCGTATATATGGCTGGCGTTGAACATATGTAGGATAGTTGAAATATAGCGCTCAAAGGAAGAGAGAATATCACGTATGATATCATTGAGTTGACGTATAATGTTGATCCGACAGCGGCATGCGTAAATGATGCCTTCGGTAAAAGAACAACGTGGAAATAATACGTAAACCACTTAGCTGCGGTCCTGTGTTACCAAAATATGAGACGCAATTCAATAGACTATCGTTCCTACTCCTTTTTGATGACTGCTACGGTGTTCATTTGAACACTCTGATGCGTTCCGAGCAGACCGAAGCCAAACGTAACTCGACGGGCAACCGCACAATTTATAGGCAATGAAATCACAATTATATAATAGATACAAATACGACAATAACGGATACGAAGCACATCGCATAAAAAAAGAAATATTAATATCTGAGACATGCGGCAATAGAACAACTACTCTTTTTTTTCTTATATGAAAGCGTGTTCCGTAGAACTATACATTTCTACTAGAAATTTCCAATTTTCTAACCAACGAAGAATATTAGATTGAAGGATTTAGCTGACTTCAGCCGCTGTTACAACCCCGACACAGATCGCTTGGTAGCTAGGCAATATGTTGTGCCTATCGTAGTGTTTGTTCAGCGTGTGGGACGATCGCATAGAAAGTGCCTGTTGCGTCACACTGTCTCGTATAGTTTAAGGTACCGTTAACAACATTGTCATACTGACCACATTGCTTCCAGCGCATTGGTGCCTGTTGGTCTTGTGTATAATGCGTCTATCGCATACCAGCTATTTCCTAGGAACTAGCAGCTGGCAATATCCGAATGTTATCATCATTCTCTAGCAAACTGGGCAGTCATTCGCGAACCGCGCTGATGACCAAGAGTTATACTTATTGCGTCAAGAGAGTTACAAGAAACCAAACATGACTACCCCGGATCGGTCGCTGGTTGCAGGAGGCAACATTTTACGCAGTGCCCGATGTCGTAGTAGACGTCCGAAACGCTCAGAGGCGCCATCTCTCGTGTATACGCAGCCGGCTTATTTTGTGGTAGGAAGCATTTCTTTTAAGTGGAACTACCAATGTTTGCTACCACTGGTTCGATCAACTATGGAATAGGAACACCAACAGGCGGCCGTCGCCGCTCTCGGCATATCAGCGAGTATTTGGCGAGGCCGTTCTGTTGGCTGGCGGACAGTTACCGACACACAGTTGATTCTGGTTTAACCTGGAACTCGGTTAATTTTGATTTAGATCGACGCTAAAAACACGCATATGAACATAAACGAATGCTTAAAACAGATCTCTTTAGAGTAATGTTTAAAACATTTGCAATAGTGTTATAGGCAACTGTCTATCAATTATTTTTCTTTTATAAGACAAGTTGGCAAGGGCTCCACTTTTTATGCCGCCTCCTTATGTCTCAAAGGTACCTAGCTACAAATTAACAGATAAAAGAAGATCGACTGCTCAGCTATACTCCGTGAGATACGCAGCACGTGTAAGCCGCTGAGTTACCTTAGCGTTTTGCCAGAGAAGTACTTTTCGTCATATATCTTACAGACTATTAGACCTATTTGAGGTACAAGTATTAGTAGGTGAGTCACTCGACCCGTCTTTCCCAAAGGTTTTTCACTATCCATTGTCTGTTCCTACGTGGTATGGATTTAATAGGTGCGTAATACGGCATGTGCTTTAATAACGTGAAAATGTTTGAGTGACATGTGGCGGTTGCCGAACGACTGCTTTTTATGACTAGGTACGTTAACAGGCGATCCCGTTTTATGCTCTGGTGCTAGCTCGGCTAGCCTGGTGGGTTAGACAGAGGTACGTTCCATACCAAGCTGCTACTCTCCATTTCTGGTCAAACTGCAAAAGCAGCTGAGGGAATCTCTGGTGCATTTATGTAAACAGATCCCCCGAAGTACCTCCGGTTAAGCTCTCGAGCTGTAAAACGCTGCGTGTATGTGTATGTGAGGTCTGGGTTGACTACAGTATATATCAATGACCTTATTTCCGCCTTTTCACAAAACTGTTCTCTGTACCAACGGTTGTAAAATTGTTCCAAGGATGCCATTTGTTACAGCTACCGTGACATCGAGTCGTATTAATAGTAGCAGCAATTGATAGACACGCCAATCCTAATACGAACCACGCAGACCCGTATTGAGAGGAGCTAAGCTCTGACTTTCTCCTCAACTATAATTAGGATTATAGATCAGACTAGAAAACCAAGATTTCTTCCTTGATAACCTAACATCGATTCCGCCTACACAAGTCTGCGGTAGTATACGCATGGATGAGCACGTCTACAACGACTTCGCGACACGTTTTAAGTGCGGTGCAAAAATGTCGTAAGAAAATAACATTCTGTGCTTTAACAGCTCGCGAAAGGAGACAGTTTGTTTGGGTGAAGCCCTTGCGAGCACGACGGCCAACGATCTGACCAGGCTAAACGGTCTGTAATGACGCATTCATTCTTAACGCCTTTGAGCGTTTCGTTTTGTCATCGGCCGATTGCCTAAACCAATGCGTTCTGGTCTGGCTTCGTTGTGCCTTCCGCCTTTAGGCTTCCATTAGACGCTTCACTTTCAGGCGACAGGTATGATCCGCAGTCATGTTAGTTTTTTAGTAAAAAATCGCCAGACGAACAGTTACCAGGCTCGACGTTAAACTGGGTTAAGTGGATTAAATGGGTCAAAACGTGGTGCATCGGTACGTCAAGACACTTTGCTAATTATGCTGCGACGCCTTGGCAATTAAAGACTTAATCCGATTTTTGGACGAAGGTACACATCCCCCATGCTAATACTCTAACGTAATGTGTATCACTGAATATTAAATAACTTAAGAACAAAAGTTAAGTAAAAAGACCACTGCGCCAATTGCAACTATGCTGACATCTAGCTTGGTGATGTCTTAAACCATGTGCTCGATCAACGGCACACGAGCAAACCGTATACAAAAGAAAAAACATACGAGTTTTCACTCTATCCAACATGGGGTAATTCAAGTAACGATATGCGAAGCCATATGTAGAACCATTGAACTTGGCCGTCCTATCGCACACAAATAGTCAAGGAACCCTTATTGTTAATAATAACATCCCACTGCAATTAGGCGGCTGTTAATTCCGGTCACGCCAGTATTCCAAACAATGAATAGCAGTTTTTAAATTTGGCTATATATATATATATATATATGCATATATAAAGAACTTGCCTTAGTAATTATAGCACGGGGGCGACTACCATTAGCAGCAGTAAGCTCAGTCGGAGTAGTAACATTCTCGTCAATTGGCTTCAAACGATACGGTGATACTATATCTACATCTTACCTAGACTTTCATAGGATTGTATGTTTATATAAAGATGGTTTAAAAATGGACGCGCGTCTAACATTAATGATCTTTTAGCCTTTAGTTTCTTATCGTTTTGAACATCACGTCGAAGATTAGATTTACCACAATGCCCAACGACCTAATAGACATGTAAACGGTTCGCATTCGTACTAGGTTAGTTAGCCTTTACAGGTTCGTCCGCTGCTTACTTCTAGTCGTAGTCATTTGTTCTGTTTATTAAAAAAAAAAAAAATTCTCTTTAGTTTGCTGCGATTGGTAGTCTGGAAGTATGTCGCGTCGAGCGCGAAACACAACCGTATTCGAGGATTCATTCTTTCACATGTAATTTAGCTACAGAGATCGAACGCATGTTCTCACAGTCTCAATGGAGCAACCGTCACTCGGCCCGTCGCATGGTGGAAATGTAGCTTGTTCTCTGGGTGTCAGTGCCCCTGGCTCTCGCGTAATGGCGTCCGCTTCTAAACGGCCACGGCGTCGGTATCGACAAAGACGCATTTCGGTCGCTGCAAACCGATACGCGTCGCTCGCTCGCAGCAAACAGTGAATATGAATACAACGAAACTTTTCTCTGTAACAACTTTCCGGGGACAGCGTTTGTTTGTAGTAGTAGCTCTGGTGGCCTTCCTATTTAGTGATGATGACGGCAAGAAGTCAAGCAGACTTGGACAAAGGGTACCCAGTTGTGGGGTAGCCAAGTCCAATTTCACAAGTCAAAGTCGAACACTCACGTAAAAGCTATAGGAATCTGATATAAAAATTGTTAAAAAGCAGAAGGCTAAGACGAGATGTGGACTCGTAAAGTTGGATGCGCTTGCAATGGCCAACTTTTCAAGCTGATTGCATTATCAAGTGAACAGCTATGTGGAACTAGGGAATTTCATTAAACAGCTTAGCCCCCCGACGGTCCAGAAGGGCAAAGAACTTTTTTAACAAAGTTAATTTTCAATTCAGTGTAAATTGTATGTACAGATAACTAATTGTTCTACTGATACTACTCCTACAAGCACGTAATTCGAATAGAATAGCTACACTGTTTGAAATAACTATGAAAGTAATGGCCCGTATCACCATTAACTGCACGCCTTGGTTACTTGGTTGGAGATTTCGTTGAAAAAACACCATTCGTTCCTTTGATTCAGCTTAGACAGGTAATGCGCTACCAGCGGCTATGCGTCAAGGGATTTCTTTAGGATCCCAATAAAGCGTTTGAAGGTACAGCGGTTTCGTATGGACGAAGTAATGCTATCGTGTAAAAATTCGACTAGCCGGCTTTTTTTTACACCTTCAATTCGTCCGGCGAGAGGAATGATGCCAAGTAGCGTAAAAATTTCGAAGTATGAATCAAAAACAAACATGTTT